ATAAATTTAAAAATCTTTTAAAAAAATAAATTTTAAGGCGTTCCAAAACTCATTTGAAAAATAAGTTCCAGGGGCACCTGGGTGGCTCAGTCGGTTAGGCGTCTGCCTTCGGCTCAGGTCATGATCCCAGGGTCCTGGGATCAAGTCCCACATCGGGCTCCCTGCTCAGTGCGGAGTCTGCTTCTCCCTCTCCCACTGCCCCTCTTCCCTGCTCGTGCACTCGCTCTCTCAAAGAAATGAATAAAATCTTTAAAAAAAATAAGAAATGTAAAAAGATTTTTTTTAATTTTATACTTTTAATTTTAGATAGATGTGCAGTGGAATCAGTGGTTTATTTTCCAACTGTCATCATTTTCTATTGTGGTATTGGGCCAGAGTGATCTTGTTCCTTCTTCCTTTCTTTCTTTCCTTCTCTCTCTTTCTTTCTTTCTTTCCTTCTCTCTCTTTCTTTCTTAAAAGAATGATGTTGTTCTTGGGAGGTCCTTCTACTCAAGTAGAGGCAAAGCACCATGAACGTTCAAGTCAAAACATCTCTCAAAAAGTTAAGCCAAAAAAAAAAAAAATTACACCGAGACACGAATAGAAAGAACACAAATGTGGCAGAGGTTAACAACCAGTGGGCTGAGGCACAGGGGATGGGGGGTAGCTGCGCAATCCTTGTAACATTCCTGAAATTTTCCAAACTAAAAAAAAAGACAAAATAGAAAACAATAAAAATGCTGACGGAGGGAGGAAGGCAGGCAGGAAAGGAAGGAGGGAGACATACATTCATACATTTTAAACATTTGAGTTCCCATTCGTGCAGGAGTTCCTAACTCTGGGTCATGAGTTCTCAATGAGGGCGATACTGCCCCGCAAGGGGGCAAATATTTGCTCTTGGGGATGAAACGATCTTACTCTGTATGTATCAGTCACAGATATATCTACAGTAAAAACATACAATATATCTGTATATTAAAATTTTATAAGGGGCTGGGAGCGCCTGGGTGGCTCAGTCAGTTGGGCATCTGCCTTCGGCTCGGGTCATGATCCCGGGGTCCTGGGATCGAGCCCTGCGTTGGGCTCCCTGCTCGGTGGGGAGCCTGCTTCTCCCTCTCCCTCTGCTGTTCCCCCTGCTTGTGCTTTCTCTCACTCTTTCTCCTGCTCTCTGTCAAATAAATAAACAAAATCTTTAAAATAAATAAAAAATAAATAAAATTTTATAAGGGGAGAAATTAGGGGGGGAAGTGTCTAAAAAGGTTCCTTACAGTTATAAAAAAAGTTTGAGAAAAAATTCTCAATGTGTTCAATGTGAATGGATAAGAGGGGGTCCACGAATGCCCTGGAACTGTACAAAGCATATTTTTTTTCCCCAGGGAGAAATTCAACAGGTTTTGCCCATTTCTCAAAGGGCCACACAGCCAGACAAAGGTGACGAACCACTCCACAGAAGGTTCTCCGCCTGCATGGTTCTCGATGCTACTCACACAACACACTCACTTCCCCAGGGACAGCCCTCCAAGAGGGGAGCAGGACGGTCTACTATGAGCAGGACGGGGACCCCGGCCCGGCTAGAAGAAACCCCAGGGCTCTGCGCCCAGGTCCTTGCCTGTAGCTGGGCGGCCGGCAGGTTGACATCGGCGATCATCTCTGTGCAGGGGTGCTCCACCTGCAGGCGGGGATTCAGCTCCAAGAAGTGGAAGCTGCCATCCTGGCTGTAGAGATATTCCACCGTCCCCGCGCTCACGTAGCCCACAGTCTTGGCCAGGTGGACAGCACACTGCAAAGACACAGAGCCTGAAGGGTCTCCAGTGGTTTTCTTGGATCATCTTCATGGGGGGCTGAGTAGGTCCCCCACCAAACGCTGAAGATCTGCTGGGCATCCTTTGGGACCTCAGAGATCGCACTCCCTACGATGGGCCCCGGGTGTCTTCGTGGACACCCACCCCGCACTGGCAATGGGGACGGTAGGGCGCTCTTGCTGGCTGGGCGGAGCCGGCTCTCCGGCTCTGCAGAGCCCACCTGCTCCATGAACTCGAACACAGCCGGTATGGCGATGGTGGCCGGCGCCTCCTCGATGATCTTCTGATGCCGCCGCTGGATGGAGCAGTCACGCCCGAACAGTGACACGGCGTTCCCATACTGGTCGGCGAGGATCTGCACCTCCAGGTGTCGGGCATGCTCGGCCAGCTTCATGAGGAAGATGGGGGAGCTAGGGATCTCACTCTGCACCTGGGGGGAACAGCAGAGTGGCTCGATTTACCCTGGGGGACCAGGGCCGGAGCGAGAAGTCCTCTGAAGATATGTCCACGATCCTGCTGATCGTTTAGCTTTGTTTTACCTCTCTCGTGAGGACATGCCTTTCTCCTTGACGTTTTAAGTCCAACACTGTCAAAATACATCACGTAGAAGGCGGAATTTCCCCACAATCCCATTTTTCTAAAGATAATGTGCTGTTAGGATTTGGGCACATACTGCGTAAGAGTTCAATGTGGTTAAGAGTTAACTGCACACTGGTTTTCTGCTGCACCTTCAGAACACACAAAACACACAGAATGCTTTTTGAATAAAAATAGGACGAAAACGTGCCACCCAGCAGCTTTCTTTTCCTCCTTCTTAAATAGTACTCTCTTGGCCAGTTGTGCACGGTGGAACCTACAGACAGACTTACGTCATTCTTTTGATGACTAAAAGGCAATTGTCCAGAAATTCTTAATGATATAAAAAAAAAAGTGTTCACATGGAATGATTTCTAATAATTTTTTTTTTAAAAAAGCAAGCTGCAGTAATATATGGGATGGCCCCGCTTAATATGAAAAATAAAACAGAGCTGTTATGAACACCTATATAAAAGTATACACAGAGGTGCCTGGTTGGCTCAGTCAGTAGAACACGTGACTCTCGATCTCAAGGTTGTAAGTTCAAGCCCCACGTTGGGTATAGAGATTACTTTAACATTTTTTAAAATCTTTTTAAAAATTCTTAAAAAAAACTGGTTACATCTGGGAAGGGGAAGAAGTTCAGAGGTGGTGGTAAAAAGAGAATTTTCCTTTTTTATGCTTAACATATTCCTAAAGCGTTTGAATGTTCTCATAAGAACATTTTAATATTGCACCCACGTAATCAAAAGAAACATGCTCGTGCGTGTGTGGGGGCAGTGGGTATATGGGACCGCTATACTTTCCACTCCATTTTGCTGTGAATTGAAAACTGCCCTAAAAAGTAATTTTAAAGAAAGGGGAAAAAAAAAAAAAAGCTTTTAAACCTACACAACCCCTAAATGTAATGGAGGATCCAGGACTGGATCCTGACACAGAAAGAAGAGATTAGTGGTGAGATCTGAGTCAAGTCTGGAGCTGACTTAATAGAAACGTATCCCTGTTAATCTGTTAGTTGTGACAAACATGGCAGAGCTAATGGAAGATATTAACAATGGGAAACCAAGGATAGATGGGGACTCCATACTACTTATGCAACTTTCAAGTAAACAGAACTTCTTCCCCTGCAAAGTACCCCAAAAACCTATCCACCCCAGTGGAGACACGTGATAGTGAAACCACTACTTTATAGAACACTCATATATTGCCCAGAATGGTTTAATTGGTAAACCTTTTTAGAAAGCAATTTATTGACATGTTTTTGTAAGTGCATGTGCATGCTATTTAACTAAGTCCTTGGCATGTGGTCTTTACCCAAGAAAATAATTCAGAAGAAGAAGAAAAAAAGCTAAGTATTATTTATGTTCCATGTTCTATAATATATATTATAGATGTTATATATTACTATGAAATATATTGTATTATAGTATAGTCATAACAACAGAAATGGAAATAAGCCCCACATTTCACAAAAAAGGAAAGGCTTGATAAGGAAAACTACAGACACACCGGGAATATTAGGCAATCATCAAAATAATTGTAAAGATTGGAACAACATGGAAAACATGTCCGTGATCTACAATTTAGAATTTTTTTAAAGGTAGAACAAAACACTATGTAGAACGAATACAACTCTTTAAAACATGCACGTGAACAAGGTCTAGAAGAAACCCTAGAAATTCTAAAATAGTTGCATTAAGAATGGGAAGATCGTTAGCCTACCCTTTTTTAAACATTGCCAATGGGCAACTATAACAGGCATAAAGTTTTAAAAGTGAAAACCCAGCTACAAATAAGTAAATACATGGTTCATTCCTACAACAAAGCCAATCATCTAGAAAGGTTAAAAATACCAAGACTACTAAAATTTACAAAATGTCCCATCTTCCAATAGACATGAATACAGTCACAAGCAGATAGATACTCCAGCCCTGTATCTCTGAAATCATTTAAAGTCACGTGGATTCACAGGATTGAACATCTAAGGACATGGTATATGGATCAACCCAAACCAGGGACTTCTGTGTGTGAAAACGTACACATGTGCTTCGGGACACAGCACAGCAATATTCCAGCTCCCATGAATGTTCTGTTGACTTCTGACACAGTAATGTTAATGAACATAATCTGGTGGCCAACAGCTAAATACATGCAATTCCCACAGATATATGGAAAAATGCTCAGCAAGAAGAGCTCACTTGTCTGAAAAGGATTGGGAAGTCCTCGGCACTCTCTGCCTTCCGGATTCCTTTCCCTCCACCGCCTTCCGATGCTTTGATCATCAAGGGAAAACCAATTTTTTCTGCCACCTGGGGGTGAAGGACAAGCAGACCTCTTTAGAAGGTAGACAGTTTCCAAGCTAAAAGGACAATGAGAAGGTTCCAGCACCTTGGCCTCCCAAGCCCTGCGTTTACCTCTAAGCCCTCATCTATATCTTTCACACAACCCTGGTTGTAAACATCTTCTGGGACAGTGATTCTTTTCCCCTGCTGCAGATCATCTTCTGTCCATTCCACCATCAGACCTAGAGAGTCACAAAAAAAGCTGAATCCTCCCAAGGATGGCAGAGAAACACAACACAGAAACCACAGAGCCTTTCCTCACCAAAGCCTCTCTAGACCTGGGTGCTGGACCAATAGTATACAGACATGGTCCTTCAGCTTCCCACAATGGCTTTTAATTTTCTTAAGGGCTGACTCAACCTTGAATGGGAAATCAAGCTTAAGAAATTCAGACTGAGGGGCGCCTGGGTGGCTCAGTCGTTAAGCGTCTGCCTTCGGCTCAGGTCACGATCCCAGGGTCCTGGGATTGAGCCCTGCATCGGGCTCCCTGCTCAGCGGGAAGCCTGCTTCTCCCTCTCCCACTCCCCCTGCTTGTGTTCCTGCTCTTGCTATCTCTCTCTGTGAAATAAATATGCTATCTCTCTCTGTGAAAGAAAGAAATAAAATCTTTAAAAAAAAAAAAAGGAAAGAAAGAAATTCAGACTGAGCCTATCACGAACAACCATATTAACCTGAACTCAAAAAAATTCCAACTCTACCCACTGAAGTCATTTATATGTAAATCACTGTTTTCTAAAACGCTGTGAAGATTAAAAACAAACTTCCCATTCCAAATTTAAAATTCCATCTTTGGACAAAAAAAATCAAATTGGAGAGGAAACTCCTGAGACTTTTTCCTGTTCATTTTTAATTTATCCTAGAAATTCTACTTGTCAGAATTTATCCTAAGGAAATGATTAAAAAGTACATAGAGATTTAGCTAGTAGACTATCAAGACTCCATTACTTTTAGTATTTTTTTTAAAAGATTTTATTTATTTATGTGAGAGAGAGCCAGAGAAAGAGCAAGAGTGGGGGACAGGGGCAAAGGGAGATGGAGAAGCAGACTCCCTGCTGAGCACAGAGCCCAAAGAGGGGCTCAATCCTAGGACGCTGAGATCATGACCCAAGCCAGAAGTTGGACACTTAATCGACTGAGCCACCCAGGTGCCCCTACTTTCAGTATTTTTTAAAATTAGAGCAAAACAACCTGGAAACAACCTAAATATCTAACCATAGAGGACTAGTTAAGTAAATTATGGTACATCTATATGATAAAATCCTATGCAGACATTTTAAATGTCATAAAGTGTATTTATTGACATAGAAGGGTTAGTGAGAAAAAATAAGTCACAAACTATAGTAAATATGAGATCTCTGGCTTTTTAAAGGATGTGCCTAGAAAAAAAAAACGCTGGAAAGGTAGGCACCTAGAATATAACAAATATTCAACACCAGGTCATAGGATTATGGATGATTTCTATTTCTTTTCTTTTCTTCTTCTTCTTTTTTTTTTTTTTTTTGGTAATCCTATATTTTCTAAGCTGTGTACAATGAAACTGTACCACTGCTTTAATAATTTTAAAAAATTTTAAATGAAAGAATAAAAAAAGCATACTCCTGTCACGCCCTCTGCTCATATTGGTGGAAGAGATCCCCCAAAGTGAAGCTCAGGCCACTTACCACTTCCACTCCAGGGCAGTGTTGGGATCTGCAGCGTCTGGGCCACAATGGTGGAGGCGATCTTATCTCCCAAGGCCCACATGGCCTCACTGGGAGGGCCTGAGGAATCAGGGACAAAGGGGGAAGGCAGAATCGAGTTAGTCACAAGCCCCTCGCAGCCAAGTGCCTGCCAAATGCACAAAGAAAAGTACTCAGATCCTAGCTCTCGAGGAATTTAACATCAAGTCGGGGAAGGGAAAAATCTGTTAGTCTGCTACTTCATCAGATGTGGTTGAAGTCTGCTGTTCTTAGTACATGTGGATTGTAGACCTGGTCTGAGTTATAACCTAAGCTATGGGGCATACACAGAATTTGCTTTTCAGGAAGAAGGCAACAAGCTAGACCAAAGGTGGCAAGCTAGCACCTCAAAAAGGTTAGCAAACTTCTCCTATAACGATCCAGATAGGAAATATTTTCAGCTCTGTGGGTCTGCTTGTCTCTGTCACAAATATTCAGCTTTGCCAGTGTTGGGCCAAAGCAGCCATAGGCGATACATAAATGAATGAGCTGCGCTGTGTTTCAGTAAAACTTCATTTACAAAAGCAGGCAGCGGGCTGGACTTGGCCTGTGGGCTGTAGTTTGATGGCTTGCAGGCTGGATCACCAAGCTCCAGAGGAGCTAAGGGATAATGAGGGTCTCGTGTATAGCCAGTCAAAGACTATGGACAGAGAAAATATAAGCAAGCACGAGTTACTAGGCAGACCCTTGGGATATCAGGTGTTGATCTGTACTGAGTTGCTTCAAGTATGGTGTGTGTTGGAGGCCCAGCACGAAGGAACAGCAACAGGGATTTATTGTGGATGGTAAATGATTCCCCTAAATCATGCAAAGATGTCAGACAGCATGAGAGCACACACAAAGTTTACAAATGCAAACCCTAAAACAGACAGACCCCATAGACAGTACGTATCATTTTCACCTTGTAAGTCATAGAGCTGAGGGACTCTAGTCCCAAAATGCTAGGTCATTCCCAAACCCGGAGAATAGCCCAAGAAAGGCATGGGCTTATCAGAAATGTGACCTCCAAACCCAGTCAGAAATCTGAACATGGCTGGTATCTCGGTGCCGGCAGGAGCACAAGCAGAGGGTTCTGCTTGTCCCAGCATCCTTCTCCCGTGGGACCCATGGCAACAGTTCCTATGTCCCTGGGCTGGCCAACCGCCCCTCCCACCCCGGACTGGCTTGCTCCTGACCATGAAAGGGTGAGAGGTGGGGCTATCAAACTGACCCCCACCTTGCAGGGCTACACTGGAAAGAGAACGTGACCTGGCAGAGTGTCCCGTCAATGCCCCAATTCCCCCGTATCAGACGGCGACACTCACTCTACCTAAGAAAGCAATCTCGTGCTTGCACAGGAGCTCCGGCAGTTTGGGGTTTTCGGAAGCATGGCCCCAGCCAGCCCACACCGCCTGTAAACATAGAGAGGTGGGAATGAGGATCTTCCTTCGAGAATCCCCCTCCCGTCACACACCGAAAGCTCTTCGCGGCAACGCATCAGCCCTGGATTTCAGAGTCTTGCAGGACCTGCAGCCTCTGACCCTTCCGAACTGCAGGAGTGAGTTGCTCCACAGCTCAGAGCATCATCCCCCCAGTAGGCAGACTGGGCACCCCATCCGACTTACCTGCACGGGGATTCTCTTGGCAATGTCCACAACCAGCTCCACGTTGGCATAATTGTTGTTGTTGGGCCCTCCCGGGACAGGGACATACTGATCTGCCATCTTGATATACTCTGGAATTAGATGAGAAAAGGAAAGAAAAACTGAGAGGCTGAAGTTCACTGCATGACTACCTACAGCTACTGAAAGGAGGGCCAGAAATTCCACTTCTAGGAATAAATACGTCCTAAAAAACCCTAGTCATCGATGAAGCCGAAGAGTGATGTTAAGAGGATGTCCAGAAACTGAGAAGTTTCTGTGGCCGCAAGGGAAAGGTGTGGATGATCATGTGAAGACAACTGAACATGATGTCCACTGTGGGAAAATATAGAGGCATCAGGACAAGGCCTGGAAGGGAACAAAGAAAGAAGGAAGGAAGCTATCAGAATGGTTGGGATGAGAGGAGGGGTGTTCAATTAATCCCTATTTCCAGTTTATCTTAATATCGTTTTGCCATTAAACAATACAATGATCTTTGTTTTTTGGGGTTTTTTTAAGATTTTATTTATTTGACAGAGAAAGACAGTGAGAGAGGGAACACAAGCAGGGGGAGCGGGAGAGAGAGAAGCAGGCTTCCCACTGAGCGGGGAGCCAGATGCGGGGCTTGATCCCAGGACCCTGGGATCATGACCTGAGCCGAAGGCAGACGCCTAACGACTGAGCCACCCAGGCGCCCCTACAATGTTTTTAATCATGGTGAAAAACAGGTAACATAAAATTTACCATCTAACTCATTTTTCCAAGGTACAGTTCAATAGCATTTAGCACATTCACACTATTGTGAACCAGATCTCTAGAACTTTTGTCTTCTGACAAATCTGAAACTCTACCCATGAGACAACACCTCCCCTTGTCCCCTCCTGCAGCCCCCGGCCACCATCATCTTTCTGTGTCTATAAATTTCACGACTCTGGGGACCTCATCTATGAGGAATCCTAGAGTATTTGTCTTTTTGTGACTGGTTTCTTGCACTTAGAATAGTGTCTTCCAGGTCCTTCCACACTGTACCATGTGATAGGATTTCCTTCCTTTTTAAGGCTGAATACAATACAATGTTTTGATCTTAAAATACTCACGCCCTTTAGGCCAGAAATTCCACTTCTAGGAATAAATACGTCCTAAAAAACCCTAATCATCAAAGAAGCCAAAGAGTGATGTTAAGAGGATGTCCACCGGGCAGTGTTTTGAAGTGTGAAATGCTAGACTCGAGCCAGAGGCAAGGCTAGTCTCTCTGTACTATGGAATTCTGTGGGATCCTGAGAAGGAACAGTGTGGAACTTTATGTGCAGATCCTGAAAGAGAACCAAGAGTGGCATTCCCTTCCAGGCTGCCCGCCTCCGATGTTTATGGAACACAAGAGTGTCGGCCGCAGGGGAGGTCCCAGAGGCGACAGAGTGAGAAGTCAGACAAGCTCCATCTTGTCCCTGAGTTTTTCTCTACTGTCAGAGAAGATAAACAAGAAAATAGACACAGTAACACCAAGCTGGGGTCAGCGCCAGGGCCCTCTGGGAAAGCCACATGGGAGGACGCGACCAGTAGGTTGGGGCAGGGAGGGGTGGAGGCTTGCTGTGCCAGGAGCTTCAGGGAAAAGCACTGTCAGCAGAAGATCCAGCATGTTCCAAGGTTCTGGGACAGGAAAGAGCTCAGCTCGCCCAGGAAGCGACAAGGCCAGCGTGGCTGGGACGCAGGGTTGGAGGGCAGGGGCACTGGATGGGGCCAAGAGCCACGTCATGTGGCACCTTAACTGGCCTGAGTAAGGACCTGGAATTTTGGTCTGAGCGTGGGAGCCCCTACACAATAAGGCTGTGGGTTCCAATCCTGCCTGAGCCACATACTGGCTGTATGAACCTGGGTGAATGATTTCTGTCCCTGTGCCTCAAGTGCCTCATCTATAAAATACGGTTGACAATCGAATCTGTCCTCTGAGTTAGAAGGAGGCTGCATCTGTGCAGGGCTGAGCCCAGGGACAGCACGGCAGCCTCTTAAGCATTTAAAGAGCTGCTGATGGGACCTGAGCTGTGTTTTTAAGAAATCACTTTGGCTACTGTGTGGATAAAGGTCTGTAAGGGGATACGATTGTTCAGGGGAAAAAAGCAAATCGTCCAACAGTTATTTATAGAATGATCTATGTGAATAGACATAGAAAACAAATGAACAGAAGAATGCATGATTGAAGTACAATACAGACATCTGCGGGGGAAACACCTGGACGAGGAGAGGCCAATCTGTTGTAACATGGACATTTCTCAGAGATGGGATTTCCACTTTGTATAGTAACCACTTGCATTTTTAATTAAACAAAGAAGGAAAGGCAAATAAATGCGGGCTCAGGAGGGGTACCCTGGGACTCTGGGGTCCAGGGTGGACTTGCCTGGGTATAATGGAAGAGGTGAGGGCAGGTAAGGACAGGGGGTGGCAGGAGGGGAAGGAGTCAAGGCCCAGGTACCTGCATTGGCCTTCAGGTCCTCTGGGGTCACCATGACTACAAACCGGATGGCCCGCTCGTTGCGGAACATCTCGTAGGCCCACCTGCGGATGGAGCGCATGCACTTCACGGCAGCGATGCCATTGTTGGCGATGAGCACCTGGACAAGGACAATGAGGAAGGGGCCAGAGCTGTACGCCTACCTGTGCTGGGAGCTGCATGCTACCCTGGGGTCCATGTCCCAGCTGCAGAGCCTCCTCAGGTACCTCTTTGCATTTTTACAGCACACAGCCTGGCAGAGAGGTGCTCAAAATCTGCTGGCTGCATGAATAGATGATGATCAAATGGGTGAGTGGATGGGTGGATGGATGGATGGACAGATGGGTGGATGGATGGATGGGTAGATGGATGGATGAATGGTCAGGCGGAGGATCGAATGGATGGTTGGAGGGGTGGGTGGATGGATGGCTGGACAGATGGGTGGGTGGATGGGTGGATGGATGGGTAGGTAGACGGATGGGTGGGTAGATGGATGGATGAATGGTCAGGCGGAGGATCAAGTGGATGGATGGGTGGATGATGGACAGATAGGTGGGTGGATGGATGGACAGATAGGTGGTGGACAGATGGACAGATGGGTGGATGGATGGATGGACAGAAAGATGGATGAATGGATGGGTGGACGGAGAGAAGGATGGATGGATGGTTGGAGATGGATGAATGGATGAGAGGATGGCTGGATGGATGGACAGGATGGACAGGATGGGATGAATGAATGATTTTGATTCCTTTGTTGGCACTTAACATTTTTGAATGCCTAGTATATACCAAGCTACAGTACAATATATCTCACCAGCATTACTTCACTTCACCCTTACTTCAACCCTTGAAAGTGATTGTATTCTTATCTTTATTAGGGGTTAAAGATATTAAAACTCAAGGAGTTCAGGCACTTGCCCCACGTCACACAGCTAGTAAGTGGCAGAGATGTGACTCCTGAGCCCTGCACAGTCGGATCTGTGCTCTGAACTGCCCCCACCCCCGTGGCTGCCTCTGTATTCTGGAGATTAAAGGCCCCGGACTCGGTGGAGAGGAAAGGCAGTAATGTTGGCTGTCCTCAGCAACTGAGAGCAACAGAAAAGGTCCGGTTTCAATTCTTAATGTGCCATGAACTTCCTGTGTGGCATTAGGCAGACCCCTTCCCTCTCTGAGCTTCATCTCCACAATAGGATCTCAGACTGGCCAACGTCCTGGCTCGATCTATAAGAAATAAAACCAATCTCTAGTGTTCCTGTTAAAAAAAAAAAAAAAAAAGGGCATATGGCTTCAAAGCTCTGACTTATATAGCAAGAATGTAATTTTAAGGCCCTTCCATTGCTGACTAATTTTCATGACAGCCCTGAAGGACAAGTCTCATTAGAGATTGGGAATGTGACTGCCTCTATTTTACAGAAGGGGAAACTGAGCCCAGGTGTCATATCCTGTGAGTGGCCATAGCAGATGGAGCCCAGAGCCCTGGGCTCAGATTCGGTGTTCTCTCCTTTCAGAAATGCCTCCCGAACAGCAATGACGGGACAGCAGGGCTTTGGTTTTCTTAATCTTATTACCAAAGCAAGGCTTGGTCAAGAAGGAAGGGCTCTGGGTGACCCCAGGACAGCCAGTTTCCCTGGGCCCCATTTGTTCCAGCACATTCTGGGAGCCCCCAGGGGAGAAAGCCACTGCAGGCTGGCTTGCTGTTCTAATCCCACAGCTGCAGCTTTCCCCTCAGAAGGGCAGAGCTGGGTTTTATGCCTGCCCCCAATAACCTAGAAAGCAATCCCTTGCACGAAGGAACCTCGGGGTCTCTGCAAACCTCAATCTCCTCTTCCGTGAAATGGGGGGGGGTCATGCACCTATTGCTTCTGGCTGTCAGGAGGGTGAAAGGTGATGAATTCCAGCACGTAGCTCTTGGCCAGTACTCACAGAAGGGTGACCTGGCCCTTTCTCTGCAGCGTGACCATGAGCCTGAAGCAGGTTCTCTCACTTCCAGCTGGGAAGAGGGGCCCCACCCCACCCCGACTGCTGGGACCCCATCTGTACCTTCTCGATGACCCGATCCCCCCCAAAGCGCGTGACAAACTCAGCCGGGGAGGCCACGGTAAAGTCTCTGTGCAGGTCCAGCTTCTTCAGTTCTCGGCCCCTCTTTACCAGGTGGAGTCCTGACATGCTGGGTCTGCAGAGGGAAGCGGACAGACCCCGATGAGCCAGGAAGCCTGGTCCACTCGGGGAGAGAGTCAGGAGCCCAGCACCTTACAAAATCAACATCAACAGAGAAGCGGGAGCCCATCAGACCCCTTCTGCTTTGTAGTCCTCCCTGGGGACCTTGAAGCGTTTCACAAGGAGACTCAAGAGGCTGGTGCAGGAATGAAGCAGAAGCGATCCCCTGACCTGACCCAAGCTGTATGTTGAGCTCTTTAATCTTAAATTAATTTTTACTTGCTATGCTCCCAATTTAAAAACTCAAATAATATAAAAAAGCCTATGGGGGAGGGGGTTTATGATCAGGGAGAAAGTCCACACAGTCCAATACCTGAGACTTACTAAACAGTATTGATCTCTTTCATGCATTTTTCTGTACATGCATCTCAAAACTTTTATAACTGAAAACCAAAAAATGTGTAACAACCAGGGCGCCTGGGTGGCTCAGTCGGCTAAATGTCTGACTCTTGATTTCAGCTCAGGTCATGATCTCAGGGTCGCTGAGATGGAGCCCCGGGTCGGGGCGGGAGGTGTCCATGCTCAATGGGGAGTCTGCTTGAGATTTTCTCTCTCTCCCTCTCCCTCTGCTCGTGTGCTCTCTCTAAATAAATAAAATCTTAAAAAAATGTAAAACAACCAAATGGTGGTTCCTTGCCCCATCCCCTCCAGAACCACACAACAGAGAAAAATCACTTTTCTGGCATTTACACCTTTCCGTAGTTCTAAACAATGTCACCATTAGGTGTATCCTCTTGTGTGACACCATTTGAGACACCATCAATGGATCTTTGATCTTGAGAGACGAGGAATGAGCACTCTTGGCCATCCCATCTGCTTCCTGTCCCCCAAACTCTCAACGTAGGTTCCTCTCAATACAGATCCTGTATTTGGGACTTCATGAATCTGGGATTATTCACAAATGAGGGCTGGGGTAGACCAGATTTTCCTTTCTTCTTTTTTTCCCTGGAGACAGTGGTTTTTTTCATTTGCGTAGCTCTCCTTGCACCTGCTGCTAATGCCATCCACTCCTTCTCATACCCTCCTAGTACACGACATAGTTGATCAGCTCCATCATTCTTCATTGGCGACATCCCTCCTGGAGGCCTCTACTCTCTACACTCACACTGAACGGCTCTTCTCCGACCCCCTACACAACTGTCATTCTGAGACTTCCTTTTGCTGACATCCCTAGGATTCCTTTTGCCTTTCCTCAGGGTTTGATCCCTAATTTGGGGGATCAAATGGCTCCCTTTCTTGGTGGACTCCCTTGTTTTGTTGGGACATATCCTCCAGTAGTTCTATCCAGTTAAAAAGATGGTACAATGGGACGGCACATGGCAACGGTGCCCTCAACATGCCTATCCTGCTTCTGGATGCCCTGGGCTACCTCATTGCTATCACCTTGGAGATTCCCTTTGATTCTAGGTTGGATCTCTGTTTCCTGTCTCCCAAGTGTTGCTCTACTTTGGTTTCTTATCTTGCTTCAGTTGAAGACATCCTTCAGTAGCTTTCTAAGAAAAGGTGTTTGGGAATGAGGGGTAGGAATGAGCTAATGATTCATAATCTTGCAAGTTCTGAAACTATCTCTCTTCTGATCTCACGTTTGACCCTATCATTTGGCTGTGTATGGAATTCTATAACGGAAAACCTCTCCTTCAGAGTTTTGGAAGACTTGCACCATTGTGTCGTAGCTTCCAAGGACACTAGAGCCAGAGATGTTCTGATAGCTTGATTCTTCACAGGTGACCTGTTTTTTCATATCCAGAAGCTTATAGGATCTTGTCTCTGTCTTCCATAGTCTACAGTTTCCCAGGGATGTGCTCAGGTATGTGTCTCCTTCCATCCAGTGGGGCTGTGAATCTTCAGGCTCCTTCAATGTGGAAACTCACATCCTGGGATTTGTCTTCAAATATTTCATTCAAATTATTTCCCTGCCTCCTTTTTCCTCTATTCTTTCCAGAAGGCTTATTATTTGGATGTTGAAATTCTTAGACTGGCCTGCAAGTGTCTGTCTTTTTCCCCTCTCCTATTTCCTATCCCTTGTCTTTCACTTTCTGGGCGATTCCTTCAGCCTTCTCTCCTAACCTGCTGTTGTGTTTCTAATACCCAAGGGCTTGTTATTGGCTCAAAAGTTTCCTTTTTGTGCATCCTGTTCCTATCTGTGCAACACCCTCCCTGGCTTGAAGGAGGGTATTAATGGCAGCTTTTTCAAGTTCTCTTCTCCTGGCATGGTTTCTGTTTCTTCCAAGTCTCCTGTGTCCCTCTGTTTGATTGTTTGGGGCCTGCCTTCCATATTAGAAACTGTACCCAAGCCTCAGTCACTTCCTCATGCTCAAGAGCAAAACTAAAGGGCTGACAGAAGGTACTGAGGTGGGGCCAGTGGACGCTGAGCTCGATGCTCAGGATCAGGGGTGGTGGGGGCTGCTGTGGACCAGGGAACCCCAAGTACACTAGCGTCTTCTTCCTTCAATGGTCCAATACTCAAATGGCCAGGAGCTGGGGAAGGAGTGGTGAGGGAAGTGGTGGGACAGGTCTCGGGGTGAGGGGGCAGGGCAGGTTTCAGAATTCAGCACCTACACAGACCCTGATCCTTGTGTTTGGGATACAGACCTCATACACCTCCACTGTGCCCATCAGTCCCCAGTCCCAAGACCCTCTGTTTTTCCCTCTCCAGGGAATGAACCACCTGCTTTCTGTTGAGGTGCAAGTGGGCAACCCCCGGCCACACAAAGCAGGCAAGAAGATCTGGGCATCTTTTACCCAATTCTTCTCATTTTGGTACCCTCTCTTGCCCCACTCAAGTGCAGAGGTACCTGACGCTGCCAGTCCCCACGCCTTTCAGAGTGCAGATCCAGTAGGTTCTCAGCTGTCCTCACTGCTGCTTTATAACTCAGCCGTCTTGGTTCTGCTAAGCCAGTTATCGCTTGTTCATCTGCTTCTGACCTCTAATTAGCTGTGGCTAATCTTCCCAACTGTTCTGCCAGGCTTGATGGGTTTCCCTCTCTCTTTTTAAAAGAACATCTCCTTGCTGTCATTTGGTGGGATGTTGACAGGAAGAGGATCAGGCATGCACATTCAGTCCACTTTCTCTTTTTTCTTTTCTTTTCAAGATTTATTTATTTGAGTGCGGGGTGGGACAGCAGGACAGAGAGTCTTAAGCAGACTCTGCGCTGAGCACGGAGCCCAATGCACGCTTGATCTCATGACCCTGAGATCACGACCCCAGCCAAAACCAAGAGTTGGATGTCCAACTGACTGCGCCACCCCGGCACCCCTCAGTCTACTTT